TTAATTTATACATTGAAAGTTATTTGATAACCTTTTACTCACACACTATGTGAGAGTTAATGGTTAAATTTACAAAAAAGCTCAAAAATAAATTAAACTTAACTTCTCGCATCAAAACAAAAAAAAAGTTTCCACCATTCCAAATGTGCTATTAGTTCCCATTAATGCAACATTTCTAATATTATGTTTGGCCCATCATATTTAGACCATGATAGGAATAATGATTTGTTAAATTGTCTGTTAAATTGTTGTGTTTAACATTTCTTACCACAGGAGTTTGGATATCTATAAATGTAAATTTGATTTTGTCCCATTCAATAAGCGTTAAGGTTCTCCCCAAACATTAATATTAAAATTGTTTGTTTTTCTAAATTACTTTCCTTGGGCTAGATTTTTCTATAAAATTTACTCACAATTTAAACAGTTTGATTATTCAGAGTTAAAAAAAAATACATACCTGACCATAACATTTTTTGAATTTTCTTTAACATTATTCCACCTGCTTTTATGAGGTGACAAAGCTAAAACATAAATAAAAGTTTAGAGAAAATTTTATGTTGGATTAACACAGGATTAGATTTACTTGGTTGTTTTTCACAGTTATTCTATCAAAGCAACGAAATAAAAATTGCTCAACCAAATATAAGACAAAATAGTTTAACAAAAATACAAGACTTTAAAAAACTCTACAGAATGTAAATGGCTATCAGGTCACTAAGTTAATTCTCGATTTATAAGTAGGAATTTACTTTTTACACCATATTGTGGTAAAATGTAAGAATGATTTAAATAGGCTCATCAAGAAAACGATGAACTTAAATAGCATTCTATTAAACAGACAAACTTTAAAAAAAGAAATTATAAATATAAATTACCAACTTACTGTTCTCTCCGTTGTCTTTTAATCTGGTTTCAAGCTCATAAAACTCCTCAAGGGACTCTATCTTTTTAAAAATGGTTATGCTTACACTTTCTGACTTTTTATTGGCACATTAGCAACACCTTTTCTCAAGAATTAATTGAAGTTATATATATAATACTGAAAACCATTTGCAAATAATAACTCATACTCATGCAAAAAATCATATTAAAAATCATCACAATTATTTGTTTGATATCACTAACAAATAATGCTACAATAAATGGTGTCACTTTGTCAAACATACATAATATAGGCCGAACCTGTGTGTTTGATGACTTTAATAAGGGAATGCTATCTACATTGACAACTAAAGAAATTGTATTTGACTCAAATCTGTAATGCTGGTTGATTGCTAAAGTTCTTGATTTGTCATTTGAAATACCAAGGTAAACATATTTACCCCCACAATTTAACTTGCTTGGAATATTCCTTTGAGTATTTAAAATTTTCCTTGTACATTTTGGTAAATCAACATTATAACTATACTGGTGTAAATGGTTAACAATTCGTCACTTGCATTTCTAGTTATTCTGTGTATTAAAATCCATTTGGCAATCTCTTTAACAAGTACTCGTACGTTATGTAACAAGTACGTCATGAAGATCTTCATTATCATCACTCTCAGGAACCTCAGAGTCTAGAATAGAACTCTCAGTTCCAGAAGTATATTTATGATCAGAGACAAAATAAAAGTCACTATAGTTCTTAATTTCAATGTTTTTGAAATCAATTCAACTTTCGACTCTATTAATATTATTAATAGATTCGACATGTGATGTGAGTCAATTTCTTCATTTACAAGTACATTGTTTAAGGCTCGATTACTTTGGCGCCATTCCCTCAAGTTTGATTTTTCTCTTGTTTATTCATTTTTATTATTCTGAAATAAACATAAATTTTAGTAGTTTTAACAATAACAAGATAATAATGAAAACTAAATACAATGAAAAATATTAATAAGAAGAAAAACTAATTTTTATTAATAAAAAAAACAGGATAAAACTTATTAAGAAAAGGTAATATTCTTATATTTCCTAAACTTTAAAGAGTTAATATTCTTATCCTCTCATCAAACTACATTTGTTGTATGTAAGTTTTTTTACTTGCTAGCTCATTAATCTCATATAGTTGAATGTTTGTATATAACTGTCATAATTAAAATCATACAGTTAAATGTTTGTATTATAATAAAAATCTTAAAGTTAAAATTCTTATTAAATAGTAATAACTAATAGTCATAATTGTGCTAGAAAATAAGCTAAAAACAATTTTTGGAAAAACAGTAAGAGCATTTGCTGGCCTTTTTTAGCTATAGTTATTTAGACTAAAATAAAAAGTAGCTTAAAATAAAACCTGAAAATAAAAATTAGGTATAACAGGTTTTTTAACAACAAAATGTAAACGCTAAACTTTAGTTTGCAAAATAATGTCAATTGTATTTTATATTCAGTTCATTAGTTTAACATTAAATTATTAAATTATTAAATTATTATTTAAATAGATAATGTTAACTAAAACATAACTAAATAAATATACAAATTAATACTAAAAATGTGAATATACAAGAAGATTACAGGTATACTAGGTTGGTTGAAAAGTTCGCGGAGCGGAAATGAAAAAACAATTTTATGATTCAAAAAATGACTTTATTCTTCAGTATATTCTCCCTTAAGAGCAATACACTTTTTCCAACGATTCTCCAATTCATGTATCCCATCTCTGAAGTGCGATTCCGGAAGGCCTTCAAAATACCCATTTACGGCTGCAATGACTTCTTCATGTGATGAGAAACGCTTTCCACGTAGAAATTTTTTGAGATGTGGAAAGAGGTGGAAGTCGGACGGAGCCAGATCTGGTGAATAGGGTGGATGTTCCAAGCGTTCGTACTTTAATTCGACCAATTTCGCCTTTGCAACATCGCTGATATGAGCAGGTGCGTTGTCCTGGTGATAAATGATTTTTTTATGCAGCAAACCAGGTCTTTTCTCACGAATTTTTTTATCCAACTGGTCCAAAAGATTTTTATAATATTCACCTGTTATCGTTTTACCGGTTTGAAGGTAATCTATTAATAAAATTCCTTTCGCATTCCAAAAAACTGATGCCATAACCTTCTTTGACGATTTTGACACCTTCACTTGCTTCGGAGCTGAACAACCGGGTTCTGTCCACTCTGCAGTTTGTTGTCGCAGCTTCGGATCATAGTGGTAAACCCAAGTCTCATCCATGGTTACGAATCGACGCACAAAATCTGTTTTATTCTTTTGAAAACGGGCCAAATGTTCTTGAGAAAGTTTTACTCGAGTGCGTTTCTGATCCAGAGTTAGCGAATGCGGCACCCATCTTGCCAACAGCTTTCTCAGACGTAATTCATTGTGCAAGATGTGTAATACCCGTTCATCTGAGATGCCCACAGCCTCAGCAATTTCACGTTTGGTCAATCGTCTATCATCCATAACCATGTCATGCACAGCATTAATCGTTTCTTCAGTAGTAGCACTTTTTGGACGTCCAGAGCGAGGGTCATCTTCAAGGCTTGAACGCCCACGTTGAAACTCCGCAGCCCATTTGCATACTGTTGTTTTTGAAGGAGCATCATCACCCAACACATTTACCATTTCATTATGAATTTCCATGGGCTTTAAACCTTTTTTCACAAAGAATTTTATTACAGCACGATGTTCAATATTTTCCATTTTAAAAAATACTATGACACGTCTAATTTCAATAGCTTGTAAACAAAGACTGAAATGACATATCGACTTGAAATTTTTTATGCGTTCATACGAAGAATGAATACGTTTAATACAGTTATAAATTTGTTTCTACTACTTCAACATAGGTGCCGCTCCGCGAACTTTTCAACCAACCTAGTAGTATATACTATAAATATATAAAAAGAACTGCTTAACAATTGCTCGCATTCTCTATACATATTGTTTGACATTTATTTACCAATGGAGAGGCCTTTTCAATATTTGCAATATGATCTTTACTTGAGTTTTTGTTGAAGACTCTCTATGCTTTCTATGAATAAAAATTTTAATTTCTATGAATTTCATTTCTATGAATTTATTTATATTATTTATATAATATTTCTAAGAATTTAATTTCTATGAATTTCAAATTTTCATTCTATGAATGAAAATTTTAAAATACATTTTATTTTACTTACTTTACAATTTGATTTTTTTTTAAACACTTAATGCATAGCAGATGCTTGGTGAAGACATTTGAAAAATTAACATTCCGGTTTCAAATTAATAATATACTTACGTTGTTTATCAAAATATAAGCAAAGCAACTAGTTTATTGAAATTCATTTTCACAGTTTACTTGATTTAAATATTATATATATATTGCTCAGAGTGAATAACTATCAGACTCAAAGGGTTGCCATGACAGCTTTATTTGCATGAGCATTAGGTTCTAACCGACTTGATATTCGTTTGTAAATTATTCGATATATTACTTCTTATTAATATTAAAAAGTCTAAACTTAGCTATAAATTTTGGTTCTGTTAAAGCAATATAAAATAGTTGCACAACCCTGCACAACCCACCAGGGCCGGCCTTACGAATTGCGGGGCCCAATTTAACGAATGCTTGCAGGGCCCACCTGATTTTTTTTTTTACAATAACTGCTATTAATAAAATTATTGAAACACATTTATTATACAAAAAAACATAACTCCACAAACGAATCAATAAACAATAATAAAAATATTACAATGAATTTAAACAAAACAGTTCTTGTTATTGTCATAATAAACAAATAATCTATAAGTCAAAGTGGATCTTTCTTGCTTTTTTGCTTGCAAAATCTTTTAGAATTTTTTCATAATTAATTTCTCTACTTATAGGAGATTCAATTGATATTAGTGCCAAATTGTTTAGTCGTTCTTGGTTAATTACTGACCTAAGGTAGGTTTTAATTAATTTTAGTTTTGAAAAACTTCTTTCACCGGAAGCGACAAGTGTAAACTGGAATTGTCATCAGTATTTTTAGGGCTATAAACAAATTTGGAAATGCAGTCGACCTATCATTACAAGCCAAATATTTAAAAAGTTCTTTGGGTTATTGTTGTTGAACGGGCAGTATTGGCTTAGTTGCCTCCATTTCTTCGGAAAGCATGAACCTTTCTATATCTTTTGTAATGTCTGTCAAAGCAATTTCTAGGTCGGCTGAATGTTTTCTGAGATCTTCTTTAGACATATTCTGAAAATTATATAGAAATCCAAAAAGTTTATGGTGTTCTTTCAGCTGCATAAACCGTGGTTGAAGAGATTGCAATGCTTTGTCTACAACTTGATTGAAAAAATTTACCCGGAATTCTGTCTTGGGGTCTAAAATTGGTTCGTCAGAAGATTCATAAAGAAACATTTTCTTTTTCTTGTAACAGCGCTTCAGTTGAAATATGGGTTCAACTTCTAACTCATTTGCAAGCTCTTTGGTATCAATCAATGCAGCTACAAAGCCTGTCTCTCGGTATGTCTTCAACCAATCAAACAATTTTTCAAAAGATGTCAGCCCCGCGGCAATGTCTATGGTATTGCTTTGAAGTTCCTTCCTAGTAAAATTTACTTGAAACAATAAAGAGTACCAAATACATAGTGTAACCAGAAATCTATAATTTGTCATTTGGCTTACTAATGATTCAGCTTCACTTTTCCCTTGAGCATCATTTGTGCTTTTTGCTAGTTCTTCTAAAGCATCACACACTTCTGCGGCTTGAAATCGTACAGCTTTAACACTTTCCATTCTACATTCCCATCTTGTTTCTGATAATGGTTTAACAGACAGGCCTTTCACATGCTTTTTAAAAACAGTCCATCTTTTTGTAGATGAAGCAAAAAGGGTGTAAATACGCTGCAGGGTTCCAAAAAATGTCATGGCATCTGAACACGTTTTAGCCATATCTCCTAGAACAAGATTATAATTATGGCACACACAAGCAGTATAGAAAGCTCGTGAATTTCTTTCCAAAAGTCGTGCTTGCACTCCAGAATTGTGCCCTTTCATATTAGCTCCATTGTCATACCCTTGTCCTCTGATGTTTTCAACATCTAGTCCTAGCATTTCAATTTCTTTCACAAGAGTGTTAAATAAATTTTCACCAGTGCTGCTCTCAACTATTATAAACTTTATAAAATGTTTATAAATTCCTGCTGGGACATCTGAGTGTGTGCCATCAGCGACATATCGTAGCACCATTGATATCTGTTCCTGATGGCTGATATCAGAAGTGCAGTCAAGAATCACTGCAAAATACTTTGCCGACTTAATTCTAGCAATAATTTCCTGTAGAACAGCTTGGCCTATAGTATCAATGATTTCATCTTGTATGGTCTTGCCTAAATAGTGATCATGAATGTCTTTGTTAATAATTTTCTGTATATGATCTTGCATAATTGGATCAAATTTTCCTAGCAATTCAATGACGCCTAGAAAATTGCCATTATGTGGATTTCCAATTTGTTCTTCAGACCCACGAAATGCCAAGTTCCTTTCTGCCAAAAACTGTACAGAAGCAACAAGTCGCTCGAAGACTTGATTCCAGCGTTTTGTTTCCTGTCTTATTAATTTTTCATTTAATGTATCAACAGTTAATCCAGTAGATAACCTTTGCTGCAGTTCATAGCAATTAAGTGTACATTGCAAATGTTTTTTTGATTTTTCATGATCCTCTAATCTTGTATGAATATTTGACCAGCTGTCAAATCCAGAAGTAGCAAGTGCAGAATCAGAATTTGTGTCAAAAAGTTTGCAATAGTAACAGTAAACTTAATCAAATGATTCAGAATATATTAGCCATGGTCGTTCTATAACTTCCCCATTTTTTAATTTTCTTTTACAGTGAAATTTCGAAAAATGTAACCCTTTTTCATTTTGCGGAAAATTTTCTACAGTGATCTTAGGGGGTTCTTCGTTCACTAAATAATCTCTGACATTTTGATTTATTTTATTTGGCCATGTAGCAGGGTCATCTTTTATCTTTAAAATATCACATAGTGCTGGGTTTGAATTTTCTTCTCTTGATTCTGAAATATCCTCATTATCCTTGTGTGTGTTAACATATATATTTATACATAATTCAGATGTATTTTGTTGAGCATTACATCCAGAAAGAAAACTACTACTAGCTTCTGATGTAATTTCTTTAGAAATATTTGTTTCACTGTCGTCTGACTCGACTTGTTTGTCTGATTTTTCAGTTTCAAACAGATCTACTGATTTACTCAAACATTTATCTAACGCACCTTTTTCTTTTTCTGCTTCAGTTTTCTTTACCTTAGCTAAGGTTCTCTTCATGTTACCACTTAGATATTTTCTACCGACGTCCCTTTGTCTTTTACTCATATTTTGGCTTGTGTTCTTCAAAACTAAAAACTTATATCTTTTTTTACTACTAAATTGCACAATAAAATAAAATAGTTGAATTAAACTAAAATAAATAAAAAATCCCCCTTACAAAATTAAAAGTAAAACTAACAAATGTAAGCAATTGATTACTGCAAATATCTTAATATAAATAAACAAACATTTAATATTAAGATTATTTATTAGACTTGAAAAAAAGTACTCTTAAAATTATCCAATAAAATTTATATTGTCTTAAATATAAAATATTTACTGAAAAGCGAGAAAAGTTTGCGTTAAACTAAAGTAAATAAAACTAATAGTAAACAAAATGAAAAATAATTTTTTCATTTTGTTTACTATTTTGTTCTGATAAAAAAAATTTCTTTTTTTATCAGAAACTTAAATGAACTTAATGACTTTGCCATACATTTGGATCCTTTTTGATATCTATTCCATATATTTGGCCCCCGATATACAATGCTATATTCAGTATATTTATTAAGGTTTTGAGGCAGTTCATATGTGTTATTTATATTTGCTCTTAGATAGTAGTTTACATTTATGTTTGTTTCAAACTTGTTAGTAAAGTTTGTAGGAGAGAGATTATTATCAAATTGATACATAAAAATTAAATGCTGATAGATATTTATTTCAAAAACATCCATCATTTTCATATCTTTCATTATAGGTTTTGCATGCTCCCGCTTATTTTTAAAGTAAATGATTCTGCATGCGTGTTTTTGTAGACTATAGATTTATTTAAGTTTTGATGGCTGAGTACTTGCCCATGATATGTTTGCATAGCTGATAAAGCAATGAATTAGTCCAAAGTAAATTAGTTTTAGACTTTGTTTATTGATATATGAGCGAACTCTATACATCATACCAATTATATTACTGATTTTAGATTGAATATATCTTATTTGAGGAAGCCAGGATAGCTTCTCATCAACAAGAACTCCTAAGAATCTAATGCTGGCTTGTTTTTTAACTAAGTTATCATTTAGGATAAGGTCAGGCAACTTAAGAGGAAGGTTTTCTTCTTGCGCCTTTTTATGGAATAATATATATTTTGTTTTCTCTGAGTTAAGCGAGAGTTTGTTAGCTCTAAACCAATTATTTACTTTAATTAGTTCGATATTCATGTTTGCATATTGATTCTTGATATCACTGTTAGTAAGAAATAGATTTGTATCGTCAGCAAACATGACTGAATTTAGTTTTAAAGATGCATTGCAAAAATCATTTATATAAATTAGAAACAGAAGTGGACCAAGGATAGATCCTTGGGGAACTCCACATAAAACATTTAATACTCCAGATTGTATATTGCACACATATTGTTTTCTATTGGTAAGATAACTTTTAATCCAATTGTAAGTTTTATTAGTTATACAATAGTATTTTAGTTTATCTAATAGGATGAAGTGGTCAACTGTATCAAAAGCTTTTGATAAGTCAATAAAAACTCCTAAAGTAAATTTGTTTTGATTAAAACCATCGGTTATTTGATTAACTAATTCAATAATTGCATGCTCTGTTGAAAGGTTTTTTTGAAATCCAAACTGGTTTGGGTAAAATAATTTATTTTTGGTAAAGTGATTATAGATTCTATTATAAATTACACGTTCGAAGAGTTTTGAAAAAACAGAAAGTATTGATATAGGTCTAAAGTTGGTTATGTCCGAATGTTCATTACATTTAAATATAGGGATTACTTTTGCTAATTTAAGTACATCAGGGAAAATCCCAGATGTTATTGAGAGCTTTAGTATATGGATCAGAGGTCTACTTAAACTGGTTTTATTAAAGATAACTAAATCACTAGTTATTTCATCAAATCCAGGTGCTTTCTTTTTTTTTAAAGAGGAAAAGGCTTCTTCAAATTCTTTATATACAAATTCTTTATCGCACATGATGGCTTTATTTGTGGGTGTTAGATAATTTTTGAATGAATCAGTTGTTGGATTTATTTTATTAGCGAGATTTGGACCAATATTTATAAAGTATTTGTTAAATTCTTCGGATATTTGTTTTTCACAGAATATGTCTGTATTGTTAATATTAATTCTTTTTGGAAAAGAAGTTGTGTTTATTTTTTTCCGTCCCATTATTTTGTTAATGACGGACCACGTTTTCTTACTTTCAGATTTGCATTTAATGATTTCATTACTATAGTATTTATTTTTTGCCTTTTTAATCAGATTTTGGTAAAAATATTTATAATTTTTGTAATTTTTCTCGTTATCAGTGTTTTTATTTTTAAGATATTTATTATAGAGTTTTTGCTTCTTTTTTGAGCATATTATTAGTGATTTATCCATCCACGGATTAGAAACTGTTTTTATCTTAATTATTTTGCCCTCTAGAGGACAGGTTTTATTAAAGCAATCTTGGAATATATCTAAAAAATTATTGAAAGCTTCGTTGGTGTCCTGACATCTATACACGTTGGACCACGTTTCTTGTTTTAGTCTGATTGATAATTCATTAGTGTTACTTGTTTTAAGATTGCGTTTTTTCAACTTTTGGTTCATAATCAGACATGGTTTTTAAATTTCTTACTTTTATAAATATCGGAAAGTGATCACTAATATCAGTCATGAATATCCCGGTTTCAAGTTCCATTTCCAGGTAATTATTAATGAAAATATTGTCAATTGCCGTTGCCGAGGTTTTTGTCACTCGTTGGCTTATTAATTGCTGACAAGACATTAAATTTAAGTAGCATATCAAAAAAGGATTTTATTTTTGGAAATTTTGAACAAGTTAGAGCATCAAAGTTTATGTCTCCAATAACGTAAAAAGTTTTATTTTCTTTATTTATTTTTTCAATTGTATTTTTGATGAAAGTTTCAAATGTTTTGACTTTACCACTTGGTGGACGATAAACGCATCCAATTAAAACATTTCGAATTTTTTTGTTTATGATTTCAACAAATAGACTTTCGTAATTATCATTTGAGAAGCTTAATACATTTTTTATTTTAAAATCGTGCTTTTTTGAGACATAAAGCCCTAACCCTTCAACAGTTTTTTCTACTTTTTCTTGGTTGACTTATAAGTTTATAAAATGGCAAATTATAAATAGAATTTAATTCAAGAGAATTTTCAAAATCATGCCAAGTCTCTGAAAAAGCTATAACGTCAAACTTGTAATTTATAATATTTAAAAATTCTTTTAGTTTCTTAAAATTTTGCTGCATGCTTCTAATGTTTATATGTAAAACTGAAAAAGAACAATGATCATTTGTTGTTTTAAAATCAAAAGGATCAATATATGGTGTGTCAATTAAGTTAATTTGAGTTTCTTGAAAAATATTTATGTTTTCTTCAAAAGAAATTAAATTTTCAAAATGCGTAGCCATTTTTAACGAATAATTTAAAAAGATTAAAAAAATATAACAATAAATTAAACCAAAAACTTTTAAAAAGCTTACTCGTTTCCGTGCGTCAAACAAACAGCTGCGTTGCGTTCGATTGCTTCATTTCCATGCGTCAAGTTAACTACTTTGTGGATGTTTTCTTTAAATTCATGAACAATAAGTTTATTGTACACGACTTTAGCATAATGACCATTTTGACGATGAAGCTTCGCCTGCTCAAAAAGTTCTTTGCGTATTTTACGAGTTGTAAAACTATAATCTTCATTTATAAAAATATTACTCCCCTTTAATTTTATTGCATTTTCTAAGATTACTTTTTTATCTTCAAAATCTCTAAGCTTTAGTACAATGGTTTGCTCTCGTTCTAATTTAGCGAGCCCAACTCGATGGGCTCGTTCAATTTTAATATCTTTCTCGATTCCAACTTTTACGTTAAAAAGCTGTTTTATTTTTCTTTAGTTATATCCCAATCCTTTTCTTCATTTGTTTCAATAATCCCATCGATTCTTAAGTTATAGCGCCTGTTTCGATCTTCATTATCTACGCTTTTTAGTTTTAGTTCCGTATTGTCCGAGGATATTTTTCCCTGCATTTTTCTGACATTAGTTAAATCTTCACAAACTTTATTTTTTCGCCTAAAGCTTTAACCTTATCTTCGCATACTCCACCAACAAAATTCAACCCTGATTTTTAGATTGAATTAACGTAAAGTAACGTAAAACGCAATTATAACATAAACACAACGTTAGTACAACGTTGTGTGCCTGCTGGGCAATAGCAAAGGAAGAGCAAGTAAAAATATCTCAAAAACGTTTAAAGTAACCCCTTTACGGTACCGTTTCTTTTTTAATACTTTTTTAATAACGTCTTTTTGCGTTTCCGTTGTATTTTTATAATAACTTTAGAATCACTAGCTAGTGATTCTAAAGTTGTTATAAAAAAGTATTAAAAAAGAAACGGTACCGTAAAACGGGGTTACTTTGAACGTTTTTGAGATATTTTTACTTGCTCTTCCTTCACTGTTGACAATATTTGAAATTTAACAAAGTGAATATAGGGGCTAAGATTGACTCTTACATAATTCTAATCCAAAATAATATTTAATTAAAAGTATTTTTTATAATAATAATTTAAATAGTCATTTAAAGTTACCAAATGGGGCAACTTTGAATGCGTTTTTTGTGAAAGCAAAACCTATTCAAAAACGCCTTGTTTTGTTTTAAAATTTAATAAAAACAACATTCTAGTTTTACAGTAATTTATTATTGCTAAAATAATATAACATTTTTTCATAAGAAACACCCATTTAGTATTTTATTTTGTTTAAATGGGTATTTTTTAAGTAGACTAGCATAAAAAAAATCTCATTTACATCAATTTCACTTCTAGACTTTGCAAGTGGAACATCTTTACATTTTGCCAAAAATCCTCAAAATAAATATTTTTAAAAAGATCAAAGGTAATTTTTTTTCCCCTTTGAGTCTGCTTTTTCCATTTCATCAACATGAAAAAATTGTAAAAGTACATTAATTACTGCTCGGCGAACTAAACTTATAACTATAT